ACAAAAGGAGATAATTTCAATCATACAAATTACAATTTTTTTAATGCTATCTAATTACAATCATATTTTTCTCATAATAAAAAATAATAATCGAAAAAAAGAACCATTAAAATAGTAAATAAAAATATTATTTAAAGCCATTGAACAAACTACAATTACATTTTTCTTTTTGTGAGTTAACTTCAATCATATTAAAAAATCAAATTATAAACAAAATGAGATACTATCTAACTACAATGACATTTTTCTTCATAAAAAAATAATTGAAAAAAATAAACCATTAAAATAGTAATATAAAAAAGATTATTTAGAACCATTGAACAAACTACAATCACATTTTTCTTTTGTAAGTGTTTATGTTTGATCTAACTTCATCATATTAAAAAAATAAAATTATAACAAAGGAAAAAAGTTAATAAATGCTGATCAGGGGATTTTAGATAACTTTAATCATACAAATCACAATTTTTTTAAGTCAATTGATAATTAAAAAACACAATAATTTATTTTTCAAAAAACATAGTGAGTTAAAAAGATCAATTACAATTTTTTTTTTGGGTCAAAATACAATCTAATCATCATCAATAATTGGTACATTATGTGACCCTAATGAGTACAATCCATTTTGTTTTTCAAAAAACACAGTGAGTTAAAAATCAAATCACAAATTAAGTGAATTGATACTTAAAAAAAACACAATAATTTCTTTTCAAAAAATACAGTGAGTTAAAAAAATCAATTACAATTTTTTTTTTCAAAATACAATCTAATCATTATCAATAATTGGTACTTTAAAAATCAAATCAGAAAAAAATTAAATCAAATCACAAATATTTTTACGCTATCTAACTACAATCATATTTTTTTCATAAATAATTGTAAAGAAAAACTATTAAAACAGTAAATAAAAGATTAAATCACATTAAAAAAAAGAACCATTAAACAAATTACAATCACATCACATTTTTCTCATAATAATAAATAAATAAATAAATGAAAAAAAGAATCATTAACTAACTACAATCACATTAAAAAAAAAAAGAACAATTGAACTAACTACAATCACATTTTTTTCTTTGTGAGTGTTTATGTTTATCTAACTTCAATCATATTAAAAATAAAATGAAAATAGTAAATAAAAAGATTAAATAACATTAAAAAAAAAAACCATTGAACTAGTTTCAACAATCATATTAAAAAAAAAAGAGTTATTGAACAAACTACAATCACATCACATTTTTCCCATAATAAAATAAATAAATGAAAAAAAAGAACTATTAAACTAACTACAATCACATTAAAAAAAAAGAATCATTTATTTAATTATAATAACATTTTTCTCTTTGTGAGAGTTTATATATATCTAACTTCAATCATATTAAAAAATCAAATTATAATTTTTTATTCGCTAGACAAATCACAAATATTTGTATACGCTATCTAACTACAATATTAAAATAGTAAACAAAAGAAATAGTCAAGAAGGAGAAAACAAAAAGAAGACTTACTGTTTGTATACGTGGTCACTGAAGTTGAAAGTGTAGAAGTGAGAAGTCAAGAAGGAGAAAACAAAAAAGAAACTCACTGTTTGCAATAGGTATGTAAAAACTTAAATAGAGTGTGTGTATTAAAGAAGTTAAAAAGACTTTGAAGAATTTAATAAGTGTTAAGTTTTTTTTTTCAAAAAAAAAAACTCAATTTTTTTTTTAAATAAGTTTTTTTTTTCAAAAAAAATAAAAAAAAAATTAAGAAATTAAGGTTCAGATATTAGAACTCTCACAAAACTTGTGGGTTAGAGATAGATATAAATAAATAGATAGATATAGATATTTATATTTGTTTTAAATTTTTTTTAATATACAAATTATTTGTTTTAAAAAATGTACTACAATAATTATGAAAGAAATCAAAAAGTCTTATGGGTTGAGAAAAGTTAATAAATGCTGAGGTTAATTTTTTTTAAAAAAAACAAAAAATTAGAAAATTAAGATTGACATATTGGAGCTGTCACACGCCTTGGGGGTTAGAAACCCCCTTTTGCTTAATATATAGTATAGATAGCATATCACCCGTGCTATGCACGGATTGTGTTTACAATTATCTATATATGTGAATTGTGATTTTTAAATTTTTTTTGTTTGTTTTGAATGTCTTCTTTTTTTCCTTTTTTATATTATATTAAAGTTTAATATTTTGATAATAATCATATGTGTTGGATTTTTCAAGGAATTAAATGTCTTTTTTTTATTATATTATATTAAAGTTTAATATTTTGATAATAATCATATGTGTTGGACTTTTTTAAAAAAAAAATTGGGTGATGATTGAGACCCTCTCCAATCATCACCCCGCACACACGTGGTGGGTGGTGATTGGAGGAGAAGGAAAAAAAAAAAATGTGGCTAATCAGGTGAAGAAGGGGTCAAGAGAGTGGGAAAAAAAAGGGGTCCAAGTCATTATTGAATTTTTTTTTATGCTTGTTCTTTATACATTAAAGTGTTATTATGAGGGATAATAATCACATGTGTTGGGACTTTTCAAAGAATTCATATGTGTTGGATTTCAAAGAATTTTTTTTGTACTTGTTCTTAATGCATTAAAGTGTTATTATGAGGGTAAGATTTGAGAGTTAGGAGAAGTTAATAAATGCTAAGATTATTTTTTTTTAATCAACAAAATCAGGAAATTTAGATTGGGAGATTGGAGCTCCCACAATGCTTGGGGTTAAAAACCCCCTTTTGCTTAATATATAGTATAGACTAGCATATCACCCGTGCTATGCACGAATTGTATTTATAATTATTTATTTATGTAAATTGTGATTTTTAAATGTCTTTTTTTTAAAATGTCTTCTTTTTTTTCTTTTTTATATTATATTAAAGTTTAATATTTTGATAATAATCATATGTGTTAGACTTTTCAAGGAATTAAATGTCTTTTTTTTTTTAATTATATTATATTAAAGTTTAATATTTTGATAATAATCATATGTGTTGGACTTTTCAAGAATTTTTTTTTTTATGCTTGTTGTTAATGCATTAAAGTGTTATTATGATGGATAATAATCATATGTGTTGGGACTTTTCAAGGAATTCATATGTGTTGGATTTCAAAGAATTTTTTTTATACTTGTTCTCAATGCATTAAAGTGTTATTATGAGAGTAAGACTTGGGGGCTGGGACAAGTTAATAAATGCTAAGGTTTTTTTTTTAAATCAAAAAATCAAAAAATTTAGATTGGGAGATTGGAGCTCCCACAAGGCTTGGGGTTAAAAACCCCATTTTGCTTAATATATAGTATAGATTTTAACATTATACACTTTTATAATGGAGTTTTTTTTTAAAAAACTTTTTTTTATCATAAAAACAAAATAAATGCCTTTATTTTTAAATAACATTTCATGGATTTTTAAAAAAAAAAATTTAGTAATGGATTTTTTTTTTTAAATTTAGTAATGGATTTTTAAAATTAATCTAAGGTCACTCTCCCATTTTTAATAATGGAAGAGATCCACAATATTATAATGTATTTGACGTACCAATTATCACATTTTTATTTCAACAATAATTAGATAGAACTCCTTCCCATATAAATAATAGAAAGTAAAAACATGAAAGAGGTCTTGTTTTCTTCAAATTTTAAGAGAGGTCTATATAATTACTCTAAATGTATTCCCCGCTCGAGCGCCAACACCTCCGCTCGAGCGTACAGGCCAAAAATCTGGGCAACTAGTTTTGGTTTCTAAACTCAACCAACCTGTAACAAACCCGCTCAACACATCCTATAACTCAAATACAAAGTAAGAAAGGATGTAAACAAGATAATAAACAACTACCAACATCCACGGACACATGTCCGGATCACTATACAACAAGGGTAAACCTGGGATCGCTATATGAATTGAAATAAGAAACGATAGGGACCAAATAGATGCATCTATTAATTTAGGAATGAAGTAAAAAATGTGACTATAGTTTAGGGAATAACAAAATATGAAAATTTTAAAAATTTTTGTTAAATGCAACAAAATATGAAAATATACTAAATTTTTATATATATTTTTTATTATTTGGTAAATTTTTAAAGTTTTTATTTTCACAAATATTACTTTTTTTAAGTGTATATAGATTAGGTGTATATAAGAAATAAAAAAATTTCGTAAAATATTAAAAAAAATCACTAAAAAGGAAAACAAAAAAAACTCAAATTTCTAAAAAATAAATTAAACCAAACAAGATAAATATAATTTTTTCATCCATATAACTAACGAATATTGATGCAAATAAGCTAAGTACAACACCCACGGTAATTAGGAGAGGTCGGTGTAAATTTACCTAGCCAAGCACTCATTCTTTTATTCATTATTTGAAGTGTAGAGAAATATGGGTGTTTGGTTTGTAGAGGGTAAGTTGTCTAATATTGGGTTAGTAAGAAAATAGATGTTTAGTTATACAATTTAAGTTGTCTAAATTATAAAATTATTTTTTTAACCATCAGATTAGATTTTTCTCATTAATGATTTGGACAGATTGTCTCCAATAATCAGACCATATGAACTAAAATCATAAACAATAAAGACTAAATATATGCAATTAATAATTTAAGAATGAAGTAGAAAAAGTGACTGCATTTTAGGGTATAAAAGTAAATTTCAAGAGAAAAAAAACAAAAGAAGACTGAAAAAGTGCCCAAGTCTTATACCTCTCTCAATTGCAGCCATTAGAGTCAATAGCAAACCTTTATTTTCACTACTCATTTATTACTTCCATGACTTTATTTTATTTTATTTTTTTCGCAATATGATTTAAATCAAGTGCTTTGTATAAACATCAAAGGAAATAAAATAGCTTTATTTTTTATGATACAAATAAAGCGCTATGAAACTGAAAAAAGACTAGATAGCAACCATAACCAAGCCATAGTTTTTCATGATCAAGCAAAAGAATGCAGAAATTGATTGTAAATACTTACCAAAGGACATCAATTGCATTGGCTAATTTCACCTTGCTCTGTTACTGTGAGAATACTTTTTAAATCTCTTTCCGCTTTTGCTTCGTTCACCTTCAATGATCCTCACAAGCCATTGAGATTTTCCTCTAGAGAACATAAAATATCCCATAACAAGTCCCCACACCAGTCCACATATATAACCCGGTAATATGACTTCCCAATTGAATCCACTTGAAGTATTGTCTTCTTGCTGAAACATCAAGGGTGGTGGTTGTGGTGTCCTTGGATTGCATGCATTTAACAATGGAGGTCCACATAATGCCAAGTTGTCAATGTAGGAATCATTTGAAAATGTATCAAATTGGTTGCCTTGTGGTATCGGTCCTATTAGTTGATTCCGCGAAACGTTTAAGACTTCAAGGAATTTCAAATTCCTTAATTGTTGAGGGATCTCCCCAGTGAGTTTGTTGGAAGAGAGGTCTAACCATTCGAGCATTGTCAAATTAGCAAGAGATGTTGGTATATGCCCTGTAAGGCTATTGTGAGACAAGTTGAGCCCTCGAATCGAATTTAACTTTCCAATGATCTGTGGAATCTGACCTTCGAAATTGTTTTTCGATAAATCAATTGCAGTGAAAATGGTTAGGACTTGTTGATCCTTTGATTACTATAGTCAAACAATCATTATAGTAATATGAATGTGAATAACTAAGCATCCCTAAGTATTGCAATTCAAAACTAGCTTCGTTGACATTCATCATAGCATTGAGATTCTTGAAATATTTTATTGGCAATGGACCAGTAAAATAATTGTTTGATAAATCCATAACTCGCAAGTTGGGGAAGGGAAATTTGAACTTGGAATTCGGTATAGGTCCATGGAATTCGTTAGATCTCAAAATTAAAACTTGTAGTGAAGTTAAATTTCCCAACCAATATGGAAATTTATTGGAGAACTTGTTATGTCCAATGTCTAGCACTTGTAGCCTTTCACAATTCACTAAAGATTTTGGTACTGGCCCCTCAAATCCATTGCTATCAAGGTTGATAGTTTCAAAGGAATTTTCCTTTGCAAATGTATCAGGAATGGTGCCAGAAAAATTGTTCTTCCGCAGATCGAGTACAAAGAAATATTTGCTGAAATTTCCTAAACATTGTGGAATAGAACCATTAAAGCTATTACTAGATAGGACAAGAATTTGAAGGGAAATTGCATGACAGAGCATGTCTAGCTCACCACTGAAGTTATTTGATGAAAGAATGAGACTAGAAAGGTTCATGAGTTTGAAGGTTGAACTTGGAAACCTACCATGTAGGTTGTTATTGCTCAAATCAACAACAGTTAAATGAGTGGATTTGAACTCTTTTACATGGCCAGTCAATTTGTTATTACTGAGGTTGAAGTACCCCAATGCTGGTAAGCTAAAGACCCAAGATGGAATTGTACCGTTGATTAAGTTATCACCTAAACTTAACCGCGCTAGATTTGGAAGTCCAATTATTTGTGATGGAAGAGGTCCTCTTACCTGATTGTTCGACAAATCTAACTCGGCAAGTTTTGTTAGGTTTGCACCCAATGATGGAAATGGACCGCTGAAGCTATTTGAATCAACAAATAAATAAAGAAGACTTTTTACATTAGGTAAAAAATCTGCGATTTTACCTTCAAAATTATTACAGTGAACTCCCAAGTAGACGAGATTTCCAAGGTTTGAAAGTGTAGGTGGGAGCATGCCAGTGAAATTGTTATTGTGTGAAAGATTAGTTTGAGAGAGTGAGAGAAGCTATAGAGTGAGAGAGAGACTCTGAAATGTTTGTATTATGTTGTGTGATTTACAAAGGGAAGGTTGAGGTGTGTCAATCTGCCGAATCGACTAAATTCAGATGAGATTCGAGACATACCAAAGTCATTGAAAGCGAGGTTGAGCCTTTGGAGGTGAGGAAAGCAGTTGAAGATGGTGCTATTGGGGTGGATGGTGCCGTTGAGCCAGCTGCAACTGAGGTCGAGGCCAATTACTTGACTTGTGTTGTTGTCACACTCGACCCCATCCCATGAGCAACAATCAGAACCCTCCTTCCACGACTCCATCTTCGGGTAAGAATGGATTCCGACAGAATCACAGTTACCGTAGGAAGCATCATTATTGAAGGAAAATTGTTGCTTAAATTGGAGCAATGCAGAGCTCTGTTCTTGAGTGCACAGTTGGGCATGCAAACAAGTAATCTGGAAAACACAAAGAAACAAGAAGAGGTGAAAGAGTTGATTGTTAGAGACCATCTTTGCTCCTAGATTCAAAAACAAAGGTTGTAATGCTTGCTGAACAAAGGTTGTAATGCTTGCTGAGCATCTCCAACCCACTAGGCATATCATGCTTGTTAGTCAAAATGCCTAGTATAACTCATTTTTTTCAACTCCAATGCACTAGGCATATGATTAGGCATTTTAGCTCAACTCACATTCACTAGCTACATGTAGCTAGCCTTCAAGACTAGGCAAAATATATTTAACCATTAGGATCATTTCCCTCCATCTTTGTTGCTGATGTGGCATTTTATAAAATTAATAGTATTTAGATGAATAGCTAAAATAAAGAGCATGGTTGGAGTAGAAACATGAAATAGTTGATAGGCAAAATAAAATATATACTTTATAGTAATATTTAGATAGGTAAAATGCCTATTACCGTTGGAGATGCTCTAACAGGGAGAGGCCAAATGCTTTATAGGCAAATGTAGGTGCAATGCAAAGCCTACAAACAAGTAAAGACTTTGACTAGTCAGCCTTTCATTGATGTCTACAGAGCTGGACCCCCTAACGTGTTTTTCACTCATCAAGGAAGACTTGACTTCATAAAAGTTGATAATAATCAATGGCTTAAAAGGACAATACACCACAACATATTATACATAACATAATTATAATGTTTTGAAATAAACATCGTAACATGTTATAATTTTTATCACTGAATTGATTCGTAACATTTCTTATCATAAATAATTTGTAACATTTACATTATATCGTTCATAACATAACATAATCATAATAATATGTAATTTTGACTTTCGGATGTATATCATAAATTTGTTCATTCATAATTTTTAGATAAAATGACCTAAGGCACTCACCACAAATTATGTGACTTTTATGGTAGAAAATCATAATTTTGTTATCACAAAAAGATGGGTGCATGCTAGCATTTTCTTAAAAATTGTGTGAATTACTAGCAACTTTTTAAAATAAAGATCATTATATATCACTTGTTCTTTTTTTTCACATTTTTATATCACCAGCCAAGATACATGACAAGGTATCATTTATTCGTATTAATTTCTTAATAATTATCTTCAAATAAAGTAACTATTAATAAGTATTTGGCAGCACAAAATAATAATAGATAATCTGCAATATATAACATTTCTCTTTTTAAAAGGTATCATTTGTTTATATTAATTTCTTAATAATTATCTTCAAATAAAGTAACTATTAATAAGTAATTGACAATACAAAATAATAATTGATAATCTATAGTATATAAATTTCTCCTTTTAAATTCACTTACAGGACAAGTAGCTAGTAAGTAAGAGACCATAGATAAAATGAACTTTAAAAAAAGTTGGAGCAAGGAAAAATCCTCTCCGGTCCAATTTTTGGATTAGAAGATATTGTTTGCACCTTTGGGGTCTATTACAAATCTAATTTTAGTGATGTAAGTTGTTCATCTTGTATGCTTTAATTAGTCAAAAAATTTAAAAATTGATATGATAATTGAAGTTACATCAAAAAAAAAAATTTCTTCTAAAGGAACATTTAAGAGTTGATTATCAAACGGCATAGTTGATTAGATCCCATATTTGAAAAAATTATTTGGTACTTCATGGGTGCCGCCTATCTATGCTCCCCATTAATCATCATACATCATATCCCTTGCTAATTCTCAATTATTTAACACAAAATCATGAATTTCACCTTCTTCTCTACACAAAATTTAAAAAGCAACACATTGCCGTGACACCACCAAATAACTTCTCTCATATTTGCAATGCCAAGCCTACAAAACTAAACTAGTCTTCACTCATGTCTATAGAGCCCCTATAGCGTGTTACTTTGACTCCATAAGTGTTGATCATAATCAATTGCTTAAATGCAATAGTGGGTGTTTGAGGTTTGTTTATTTGGTGACTATGTTTTTAGTTTATTTTCATTTTTATTGAATATTTTTTAAAAAATTTTAAAAATTTTAAGTTTCTAAATTTAACTTGATAAGACAAACCATATAATTTTAAAAAGTCAAAAAAAAGAGAAGACTTTTTGGCTTATTTTTGGCTTTTTTATTATTTTGGAATTTTTTTAAATTCGTCTATACAAGACGGCCCAAAAAATTAAAAAATTTTGACATAATTTTGAAAAAAAAAATAGGATGAATTATACTAACGGTCCCTGTAGTTTGGGACTTGTATCACTTTGATCCTTGACATTTTAATTATGATACATTTGATCTTGAATTTTGAATAACGTTCTAAATAAAGACAATTGAAGAAATTTTTACACCATTTCAAGGCAAAGTTGTCAATAAAAAACAACTAGTTTGATAAAAATAAATGTCAAAAATTATTTTTAAATTTTGAAAAATTATTTTTACTCACCAAAGATAAAATTATATAAAAATAATAAATCTTTTTTATTTTTTTTACCAAATTAATTTTTAGTATGTATTTGGATGATGATCATGTAATGCGTGGTTGTTTTTGTTGATATTTTTAGATAGTTATCATGTAATAAATAGTTGTATTTGTTGTTAAAAAATATTTTTGGATGGTTATCATGTAATGGATTGTTATTAGATTTTTAATGTATAATTGATATGTTTAATATATGAAATGCTTTTAATTTTAGATTTTTTTATTTAATGAATTGGTTTAATAATGACATCAAAGTTGTCGCTATATTTGATTTTTGAAAAAATAAAACTAATTTAATGAAAATAAATATCAAAAAAATTTATTTTAAAAAATTATTTCTACTCTCCCAAAAGATAAAATTATAAAAATGAGGTTTTTAAATTTTTTTTTCAACAATTTAATTTTTAGTTTGTTAGAAAAAATTTCTGAAAATAGATTTTGAAAACCAAACTAAACAAAACTTTATAGCCAAAAAAGTTCCAATATTATTATTAAAAAAATGATATTATATTTTAAACAACATATAAGTTAACCAATACAAAATAAGTTGTATGACAACTTTATCTTTCAAATTGAGCAACAATGTCTTTAATTGTTCTCATTTAAAACAAGATTTATGTAACGCCCCGAAATAACCCAACACAAATTAAGTACATTAATCAACATCCATTAAGAAATAAAGATAGGTCTCCAACCTTTACATCATTACTTAGCGAAATGGGTACAAAAGTTCCACATGTGAATTATACATTCAATAATATAGAAATATATGAATCTATAGCATGTAGAACATCACATCCCAAAAATAATAAAATGCCCTCATGGGCTTACAATTTCTAGCACTTAAATCCAGTTACACAAAAGTGGCATCTCGGACCCATACATGAATAGCCCTTGGCTAGCAATAAATCACAACAAAACAGAGTTATTTACTGTTCACAGAATATGTCCACGCCCTCAACTTGGTAGGATCACCACATCCTTTCGTGCACCAAAATCCCATAGGGGTAAGCAGAAAGCCCAGTAGAGAATCCTTACAAAGTATATACAGTTATGCAAATTTCCAATGCTAAATGCAAATGCTAATATTTAATGCAAATGCCATGCAATACCATTTAAAGAGAATTTCATTCACATGCTCTTTTTGAAAATCACCATGTTTCAACAATAACTTGGAATCTCAACAATTCCGAAACTTCCAATTTTATTCAATAAGGGCGGTAAATACGACTCAGGTAATCCCTAGGTTGGTGTCTGCAAGTAGGCTCAACAAGCACTACCAAAAGCCCCACTTTACTAGTTGCTAACCGGAAGGGAAGTGGTGCCTCCTCCACGCATGTTTTCGGTCTTTCACCCGGACACTTAGGCCAACTTATCAATTCATCTACACCTCCTAACCAGACTTACCAACGTATTTACCCCATAAACATTTCCATAATTTCGTTTCACATTATTCATTTTTAATAAAAGTTTCAATTCCCAATCCGATGTTTATGACATGCAAGGTTTTAGAGAAGCCAATGCAACCATTTTAATGCTAGAAATGCCAATACAATATGCCAAGGACTAAATACCAATCTTATAATAATCAATTGAATGAATATGCAATGCAATAATCAACATTATTATGTAACATTTCTTCATCATCGATCTTCCTCAACATTGATTTATTGTAATCAAACTTTCCACTCCACTTTCAACAATATCAAGCATGATACCCACCATTTCATTTTAATTCAACAACACCAAATACTTTTCACATTTCATTAACTTCATCATTTCTACAATGGCAAAGATATATATATATATATATATTCTATTTCGTTCTTCCCTTATGACATATCAACAATTTTTACCTATATCATAGGCTCTCATCTCATCTCAACAAAATTTCGATCTTTATCCAAGATTAGGCATCTCTTCACCTTTTTGAAAGAGCACACACACATAAAACATCCTTTCTCACATAATGGAGGTGAAACCCTCAAAGATCAACTTATAGACATTTGAGATTTTAAACCCTCATTTGAAAATCTCTACATTCTTGAGCCAAAATCAAACTTTCAAAATAACTTCAAGAAAACTTTAAAATCAACATCAATCTTGCAAAACATGCATATATAACTCAAAGAAGTCCCTACCTCAAGTTTTGGAGAAGATGAGAGAAGAAACCCTACAAATCAAAAGTTGTAGAAAGTTGATCTCCACCACACACAATGTAGTTCTTCCTTTGCTCACCAAGATTTGTGAAAGAAGATGGATCAAAACTCAATGGCTTGCAAGAAATCAAAGGTTCTTTGAGTTTGGTGAGAGTTTTTAGAGAGAGAGAGAGTAATAACATGATGTTTAGAGTGAGAGAGAAATTCCCCAAATGTGATACATACATAGCCAAATAGAGAAAAAAAAACAACAGAGATTCGGACTACCTGCGCCCCGCACGTGCAGAGCCTACTTTCCACACGTGCGGCCTTCATTACTCGGCACCTGCTTATTAGGCAGTGTCCAACCTTCCCAACTTACCCTTCCCCGCACGTGCGGCCTTGG